GTTGTGAGTCGTGGTGCTCTGACTCACCCTTATAGAAGACTTGGTGCTGTATTTAGTAGCCTTGGTAGGACAATCCGCCACCTGATGTCCTAACAGCCCGCAGTAGAAACAACGCCCATCCCTCTGTCGGCGCAGTCGTCCTTCTTGGGGGAGACGGGTGCTTCCCAGCTGCATTGGCTCCTTTGTGACGTTGTCTGGTGAAGAGACGGAGGCGGGGGCTGGCCGAAGTCTGTCGGGTCGTTTTGACGTGGAGCCTCTGCCGTCCTGGTGAGGCAAAACACGCACCAAAAAACGTTCCCGGTCCTGAGCTCTTTCGGCGAGCCTCATGTCGATCTTGATGGCAAGAGCGATGAGTGAATCGAGGTCCTCCGGCAGATCCATGGCGATCATATGATCCTTGATATTTCCTGACAGTCCCTGAAAAAATGCATCGGCTAGTGCAGTAGCATTCCACTCACTCTCTGCAGCTAGTGTGCGAAAGTCAAGCATAGTCTGTGACTTTGCTTTAACCTTGCTTCAAATTGAGAAGAGCCCGGGCAGCCTCTCAACCTGGTGAAGTGTGCTGAAAGATCTGTGTGAGCGCCTTGGTGAATCCTGCGAGTGTGGCACATGAAGAAGTGTGCCGACTCCACTCAGCCGTGGCCCAGGCTTCAGCACGTCCGGACAGATGAGAAATAATAAAAGCGATTTTAGAGCGCTGAGTCGGAAAGGCCGAAGCCTGCAGTTCAAAATGAAGCTCACATTGGGTCAGGAAGGGCTTGATATCACCAGAGTCTCCCTGAAAATCTCTGGGGCCGGGATAGCTGCAAGCATGGCATGGTGGTGACGTCAGGCAGTGAAACAGCGGCGGCTGCGGCAGGCGGAGGATCCGCTCCTATGCTTGGGGCAGCTACAGCCGGAGCCGCGTGGTTGAACCGCTCAACGAGCACATTAACATGGGAGCACAGGTTTTGCATCATCGAGTCCTGCCGTGCGGCCAGGTCTCTCAGGTTGGAGCATAAGACAGCAAGCTGCTGTTCCTGCTCCGCTAGTCTTTTACCTTGTGCTCGGATGGCGTGACGAACCGGATCTGAATTGGTTGTGTCCATTCTGGCCAGTTCGTTCTGTCAAGAACTCACTGATGACAGGCAGGTGGACACAAATGCTCAACACAGAAGAGGTTCAAGCAAAAAGGCAGGTTTATTACCGTCCAGGGTTCGGTACACAGAAGGTCAGTCAAATCAGGCGGAGGTATCCAAAAATCAAGAGGCAAGGTCCAAAAACAGAAGCAAGGTTGTAACAAACAGACTGTGACTATGACTTGGAAAACGCTGATACGAAGACTGTGAAAGCGCGACGAACTGGCGACGAGACAGTGAGACACACAAGGTAATATACACGAGGTAATGGATGGGAAACCGGTGCGGGGAGGTAATCAGGGAACAGGTGAGACAAGACAGGTGCAGGAAGTAAAGCTGAAACAGAACAACTGGTGAAGTGACTTCAAAATTAAACAGGAAAGACAAGACATAAAACGTGCACACAAAACAGAAACTTGACAGACATGACACACCCTAAAATGGCTTTTACCATCTTTGTCGTTTTCCCTGGACATACACCTGTCAGAGCCATCAAGGAGGAGTTCCACAGGACTGCAGGTGAATGATGTAGAGATCTGTTAAATTAATTTTAAATTCTATTCTGTTAATGACATTGTGCTGCAACCTCAGACTTGAACAGTGTTTTTATATTTCATCTAAAGCTGCTGCCAAGTGGGCTTCTCCCCTGCGGGATTGCACCTAAATGAAATAAATTAATAGGCTGTCGTTCAAGCAGTTTTCCTGTAATATTATTGTGATTAAAGGACGACATATAAGCATTGACCCGAGCAGCAATGTTGTCCACGCCGTCTCCCTCTGTGTTGCAGCTGCAGCGGTGTTGTTCTTCTTTTTAAAAACGCGTTCAAACTTGCCAAGTGAGCACATTAAGATTTCCAATTCTAGTGGGTGAAAAATGCACCCCTCCGCTTCCCCGTTGCCATGGTGACTCGTCGAATAGGGGCTCCATTGATGCTGGCTTTTTATAGTGGTGGTGCACGCGCTTTACTCCAGGTGAAACTACTCCGAGTTGATGAAACTAACTCGAATCTGCTGTTCTAGAACCAGAAACTCAGAGTTTCCTATCTCAGAGTAGAGCAACTCAAACTTCAGGATTAGACTCAGAGTTTGTTGAACCTGCTTTGTGAAACGAACCCCTGTACAATCATACAACAGAAAACATCTTACGGTTTTTGCAGGAAAACAGAGCTGATAATCATCAAGAGCACCTATAAAGGATGAACAAACTAAAATAAAAACGGAATCTCAACGAATACCAGAGCACAAGATTTACATATGCACACAAAAATGAAAGAGGCAAAAGAAACAAACAAATACACAAAACAAAACAAAAACCAAAGCAAACTACATATGTCATGAGAAATAAATAAAATAAACAAAGCAAACAATTAAGACGATATTAGTGCTGACAATGCAGTGTCATCTTTCAGAATATGTCGGGTGAGGAATGTTGAAGCATGAGTGCAACTGTGCAAATGTTACCGAGCCCCTGCGAAGGTCAGATGCCCCAACAGGCCGGGACCAGCAGCCATTGACCCCACCGGGCTCCAGCGGCTGCAGGGCAGAGGCCCTACAGGCCGGGACCAGCGGCCGCCGACCCCGCCGGACACTGGCCACCCGGGGCAGGCCAGGCACAGGGCCCAGGGCCACACGAGCCCGAGAGCCAATCCCACCCCCCTACCCCAAGCAGAAGGCCTACAAAGAGCCCGGGAGGACCAGGCCACCTCAGACGGCCACTCGGTGTGGGCCAGCACCCACCTCAATGCCCAGATACTCACCCCTGACACCAGGGATCCACCAGTCATCACACACCTGAAGCCAGACCTCTGGACAGGTGGACAAGCCCACAGGGCGTGGAAGTAGTTATCAATCGCATTTTTGGTGCAATGTGAGCAGATATTTGATTGTGACAAACTCATCCTGAACATTCTTTGTCCTGTATATTGAATTCTATGGAGAATTTTGAATTTTATTAGTTGCATATTTGAATTCTTAGTCATTATAAAAGTTCTATGCATATTTGTGACCATACATTTTCATTAAAGTTACTGGATAAGTCAACGTACCATTTTGAAGTTAGAAGGAAGATTGAATCATTCAGTTTCAATAATAATCGGTATATTTTTGATAGTTGCTGCCTGATCCTCCACTTGCAGGTTGTAGTTGGTCATTGAGGCTCGACCTTCAAGTCATTGTGTTGCTGGAAAATAAACCTTTTCCCAAGTTTCACTTCTCTTGCAGATGACATCAGGTTGTCCTCCAGGATTTCCTTATATACCGTATATATACACTGCTAAAAAATAATAATAAAGGGAACACCTAAACAACACAATGTAACTCCAAGTCATTCACACTTCTGTGAAATCAATCACTGTCCAGTTTGGAAGCAACACTTATTGCAAGTCAAGTTCACCTGCTGTTGTGCAAATGGAACAAACAACAGGTGGAAATGAGAGGCAATGAGCACGACAACCTCCATAAAGGAGTGGTTCTGCAGGTGGTGACCACAGACCATGTCTCTGTTCTCATCCTTTCTGGCTGATGTTTTGGTCACTTTGGCATTTTGTCAGTACTCTCACCCCTAGAGGTAACATGAGGCAGTGTCTACAACCCACAGAAGTTGCTCAGATAGTGCAGCTCATCCAGGATGGCACATCAATGCAAGCTGTGACAAGAAGTTTTGACGTGTCTCTCAGCACAGTGTCCTGAGCATGGAGGAGATACCAGGAGACAGGCCAGTACACCAGGAGATGTGGAGGAGGCCGTAGGAGGGCAGCAACCCAGCAGCAGGACCACTACCTCCGCCTTTGTGCAAGGAGGAACAGGAAAAGCACTGACAGAACCCTGTAAAATGACCTCCAGCAGGCCACTAATATGCATGTTTCTGCTTAAACTGTTAGAAACAGACTCCATGAGGGTGGTATGAGGGCCTGACGTCCACAAGTGGGGCTTGTGCTTACAGCCCAACACCATGCAGGGTGATTGGCATTTGCCAGAGAACCCCAAGATTGGCAGATTCGCCATTGGCACCCTGTGCTCTTCATGGATGAGAGCAGGTTCACACTGAGCACATGTGACAGACGTGTCAGAGTCTGGAGACGCCATGGAGAGCATTCTGCTGCCTGCAACATCCTCCAGCATGACTGGTTTGGCGTTAGGTCAGTAATGGTGTCGGGAGGCATTTTTTGGAGGGCCGCACAGCTCTCCATGGGCGAGCCAGAGGTACCCTAGCTGCCATTAGGTACCAGGATGAGATCCTCAGACCCATTGTGAGACTGTATGCTGGTGCACTGGGGCCTCTTTCTGATGCATAACAATGCTTGGCCTCATGTGGCTGAAGTGTGTCAGCAGTTCCTGCATGGTGAAGGCACTGATGCTATGGACTGCTAATGGCCTTCCCGTTCCCCAGACCAGAATCCAATTGAGCACATCTGGGACATCATGTCTCGTTCCATCCACCAGTGCCACGTTGCACCATAGACTGTCCAGGAGTTGACTGATGCTTTAATCCAGGTCTGGGAGGAGATCCATCAGGAAAACATCCGCCGCCTCATCAGGAGCATACCCAGGCATTGTAGGGAGGTCATACAGGCATGTGGACACCACACATACTACTGAGCCTCATTTTGACTGAAGTTGGATCAGCCTGTAATGTGTTTTTCCACCTTATTTTGAGTATGATTCCAAATCTAGACCTTTATGGGATAATAATTTTGATTTACATTGATCATATTTATGTTATTTTGTTCTCAACGCATTCCACTATGTAATGAATGAAATTTTTTAATTGGAATATTTCATTAATTGAGATCTAGGATGTGATATTTTAGTGTTCTCTTTATTTTTTTTAACAGTGTATATTAAGTCAGCCGCACTGAGCCGTGTTGTGTTTGTGTGTCGTAGTTATGGAAGGAGCTGCGTCCTGACACTCCTCTCACCGGCCGGATCTCCAAACAGTGGTGTGAGATCGGTTTCCAAGGCAGCGATCCCAAGACTGACTTCAGAGGAATGGGCCTGCTGGGCCTGCACAACCTGCTGTAAGCTGCAAAATGCTGATCACAGTCTAAAACCAGACTGACAGCAGGACAATTGGGATAATGGGATATACAGACAGAATGCACTCAAACAAGACATCTTTTAATAGAACAATGTACAGCTGAGACAATAAATGCACAAGAATAGATATGCACATATGTGAATGTGATCTTAAGATTTCCTTCCATCTTTGTCCAGGTATTTTGCAGAACATGACAAGGCCACTGCTCTGCAGATGCTCCACGACTCCCTTCAACCAAAGCACAAGTACGTGCATCTCAATTCTCTCTGTCTCACATTGAAGGAATACAGCAAGTGTAGTGCATCTCTTTTGGCTTAATTTTCAGATTTTAAACTACTTCTTGGAATAAAACTACACTAATTAAATGTGAGTTCATTCATGGCAGGTTATTCATAGAAACATGTATAATTAAACTAAATTTAGTTGGGTTTTAGTAGATCATGTTTAAATTATTCTTACAAAAAAACGTGGAAATTATACCACAATTTAAAGACCCAAAGTATTGATAATAGTGATACTGATAATCTTTGTTTTCTGGATGTGCAAGTGCACTGTAAAAAATAAAACAAGAATAAAAAAGATTTATTTTTGCAGTTTATACCTGTAAATCTTTGAACATTTTACGGTTATTTTACAGATATCTATTGTTAAATTAAAATGAGCAAAAAATATGATTTATTTTACAGATATTTGTTGCTATTTAAAAAGAAAATGTATATTAAGGCAATTGGATTTTTCCCCCAGATTTACCTTTTTTCTTGAACCACAGAAAAAAGTTTTAATTTACATGCTGACTGTAAAAAAAAATTTAAAAAATAAAATCTCAAAATTTGAAATAATATCCACATCAAAAATCCCCCCAAAAAATCTTTGCATCTTTTACATTTTTTACACATGATAATTTGTTCTTTTATAATTGTAAAATTACAAAAATGTCATTGTTTCAGATATTTGCTCACAGTTTTACCATATTTGCATTTTTTAATGTTAGTTTTCCATCTATTTTAGACATCTTTTTTCTGGCACCTTTGCTGTCAGATTCTGACATTTTTATTTTTTTATTTTTACAGTGTAGACAACATAGCACAACATCAATCTTGTAATAAATGTTCAGAGCAGCTTTAAAATCTACTGCACACTTGGTGTAATTGCTTTACTTGCCTTTGCACTGACTCATCCATAACTCTTCTCTGCTTGATTATATTCACTCATTCATACAGCCTGATGTCATTCACTGCCTCATCTTTTGACTGCTGCTGCTTTGTCATCTGCATCTCAGTGAGCTGTTTCATTTCTCCACTAAAGATTCTTCTTTTCTTTCCCCTCCTCTGCCTCCGTTTCTGCTCATGTCCTCCCTCTGTGTTTGTCTCATGCACTGTAGGATCACACACAGAAAGCCAAGGTACTAAACTTCACTCTCATTCACTTGCAGTCACGGCTTCCTCATCTAGGTTCACGCATCTAAAGCTGCACTGAGCACGATTTATGTGTCAACAACACTCAGCTGCCTCATCAGCATAAAACAAATGACACGGCCAAAACAGAAGAACATGCCTCAGTCGCACTAATGGAGGCAGCACTCTGTCAACGTTAGGAAAATACTGAGAATTTTAAAGATGCTTGTCTCCATTTTTATACCATATATGTTTTCAGTAGTAAGTAGACTTTGTGCTGAGAGGAACAGACAGAGTAGAGATGTCAGAAAATGTGGTTAGATGGACAAAAACATTTAGATTTTGTCCTTTTTACAGGATTCAGTGAGTAAAGTATGGAATTGTGGCAGTTTAATACTTTAAGTGGAAGCCAGGAAAAGCTCAAAATATTAAATTAACATGACTGGTATTACCTTACATGTTTAGTTAGAAATAAAGTCTAAAAGGAACGAACAGTAAAGCATTTCATAATATGCAAAATACACCAAAAATATACAAAGTCAACAATTGCTGCTCATCCATCTCTGATTAACCTAAATATTTTTCTAGCATAAAATACGGACATTTATAAAGATATTGGTGAAATTTTAGCTTTAAATTTGAATACATTCTGAGATAAACTTCCTTAAAATATTGCCCACACATTTTGCAAATTTCAATTTGAGGCTAAGATTGAACTACAATACAGTATCTCAGGAACTATTGAAGTTCAAATTCCATCCATCCACCCATTTTCTATACACCGCTTAATCCTCACTAGGGTCGCGGGGGGGCTGGAGCCTATCCCAGCCAACTTAGGACAAAGGCAAGGGATAACCTGGACAGGTCGCCAGCAAGAAGGTTGCCAGTTCGCATCCCGGTGGGGGCACCGGAATCTTTCTGCGTGGAGTTTGCATGTTCTCCCCGTGCAGCGTGGGTTCTCTGGCTTCCTCCCACACAGTCCAAAACCATGTTGAGGTTAAATTGGTGATTCCAAATTGTCCGTAGGTGTGAATGTGAGTGTGCTTGGTTGTCTGTCTCTAAATGTAGCCCTGTGATAGACTGGTGACCTGTCCATGGTGTCCCCTGCCTTCGCTCTAAGTCAGCTGGGATAGGCTCCAGTCCCCCCGCAACCCTTGTGAGGATGAAGCGGTGTATAGATAATGGATGGATGGATGTTTTTGGACTGTGTGGTAGAAAGCCGGAGAACCTGGAGAGAACCCACACTGCACGGGAAGAACATGCAAACTCCATGCAGAAAGATCCCAGGTGTCTTCACCAGGGACGTGTGTCACAACGAGTCAAGGACGTGAACCCAAATGCAAGACTCAAAACACTTCGGCTCAAAGTTCTCTTAACGGATTTATTTAAAGACAAAGTATCAACTTAAAATCTCTGCAAAGACGATAAACACAAAATGTCACTCAAGTGAGGAAAATATCAAAACCGAAAATCACTCTTACGAGGAAACAAGTTATTTGGAAAATCAAAAAGCAAAACCTTAACTTGGCAGGATATTAACATTACAAAGTAGCAACAAAACATTAACAGAATCGAGGCAATACAAAGTAGCAAATAAAAAGTTAACAAGACTGTGGAAATACAAGAAAGAAAACAAAACCTGAACTTGGCAAGATCGTGGCATGGATGGCTAGGACGACTGATCTGGTACGTAGAACAAGACGAACTGGCACAGGACAAAGGGAGACGCAGACTATATATACACACACAAGGGGCAACGAGGAACAGGTGGAGAACATTAGGGCGAGGTAGACAATCAGACACAGGGAACACAGGAGGAAGGGCAAGTCACCTGACACAGAAGCGGAAAAGATTTTCAAAATAAAACTCACAAGACATAATACAAGACAAAAACCTAACAACGGGTTCGAGACATGACAACGTGAACCGGTGACCTTCTTGCTGCGAGGCAACAGTGCTACCATCTGCACCGCCTTGCAGCTCAGGTTCAAATTCTTCACTGTTATTTCTGAGCACAGGATTGATTCATAATCTATAACACTGGACAAGTAGGTTCAATAATCTCTGTTTATAGGTGAGTAGAGTTATGAAAAAAGTTATAAAAGTCCCGTCTTTGAGCACAAACTAACAAAAAAAAAAAGATAATGCAGCTATTTTCTAAATTGCATGTAGTTGCATGTCCCAATAATACAAAACTGCTTTTAAAAATGAAAAACTTGACTTCTGCATTATCATGTTTTTTGTTCATTTGAGCTCAAAGATGTAAGTTTTTTAGGACGACTTTAAATTTCTTTCATATTTCGACTCGCCTATAATCAGAGTCTTTCTGACCTACCTGTCCAGTATTGTGAAATCTAAATCAATGAAATGACAGTGAAAATTTCAGGCTTTTATCTTTAATAGTTTCTTAGATTTTGTTGTTCAAACAGCCTTAAATTTCTCTGTGCGAAAGCGTGTTGAAAGTGAGTTGACAGGTAGTTAAAAAAGAAACAAAAAAATAACAAGAATTAAAAATACGTGCTATATCAATCCAAAGTTTCACATTTTAAAAATGCATAATGAATGATGATAAAGTATTAAGCAAATCAGAGATGGTCAAGCAGAAGCGCTTGAAGATTTAAGATGGAATAACACAATTACTTTATATCAAAGGCCATCATAATTCAGTGAGATGTGAGCTTTAGTGTTAATCAGTTGGATCATGATTTATCGCTTTACATTAATAATCTTCACTTCTTACACTGGTAACATTTCAATATGTTATTGGTATATTATATATATCTTTATAGTGTGTTTCTGCTAGTTCCCATAGATACCAGTAACACTTTAAACTCACATTGCGATTGATTTCAGTGTGTTTTTGCTCATCTCACATAGACAGATTGACTTGTGAGCTGCCTGGTTGTTTCTTGAGATCTTAAGTAAACCCACTGTATTGAAAATTTAGATAATGTTTATATTATTTTCAAACAGATTTAGTTAAGTGTGCAGCTCAGAGCTGTTAAACATTATTTAATAACATTAATAACATTGGGCAAATGTTGGTAGCGCTGTTGCCTCGCAGCAAGAAGGTTGCCGGTTCGCGTCCCGGTGGGGGCACCGGAATCTTTCTGCGTGGAGTCTCCATGTTCTCCCCGTGCAGCATGGGTTCTCTCCAGGTTCTCTGGCTTCCTCCCACACAGTCCAAAAACATGTTGAGGTTAATTGGTGATTCTA